CTCAACAAATTCCACCACCCCACAGCGACAACCCATACACACACTCCCCTCCATGTAACCACATCCCACACCCCATACACCTACACTACACCCACCAATCAAAAAACCCAATACCCAAAAACACCAGTAACACAGGCAAAATTCTTGTAATATTAAACAACAACACATCATCATTCCCAAAAACCCATCAGTACCAACACTTACACACCAGACACTAAACATGTAAAATATTGCATGACAACACATTCAAAACTAACACTGTTCACAAAATCGAAATGACAGATGTGGACACTTCCTGCAGCGTGGAGTCGTCATTGGATTTGGATTGGCAAATCTTGAATGCAATACCAGACACGCGTATCAATCTCGCCCACTACACCAACCCTCACCACTGAACTACGACGTCACGTTTGGCGCTACAGATTCTATTGGAATTGGGGGTTATTGGGTTGTTCTACACTTCCACGCTTCTGCATTTTCATTGCATATCTACATCGCCAAATTTGAGATCAAATCACAGTAATCGCGCGATTTATAACAAATCAAAATCCCCTCCCTTCCATTCCGCCACAGATTTTGTGACCTTAACGATTGCACACCGTTACAATACCTATCACATCCACAGCTTGTACTACGTGTGGTTGATTATTTTTCCCAAACGTGGATTGCTGCAATGTGGGATCAGGCCCTCACAAATTACCTTCCAAAACCCTAATTACCAGAAGCAAACGCAATACTTCAGTTTGTTGAACGCCAACACCTTCAAATGTGGGGAGGGGGAACTAAATCAATGTATGTGTCATAACTAAATGTGGGCCACATTCCAAATGTGGGTCAGCCCAAATCACAAAAATACCATAGTGCATTTTTTCATAACGTTACATCTACACCAATCAATGAACTATAAATTCCCAAAACAAAATACCCATTTCATAAGGACAAAATCGTAAAACAAAACATAATAGGACCTCTGTGTGTTCAAATTAAAATATGGGATTAATCAGTTTCTAATTCCACATTATGGGATTTATGGGTCAGTTACCCTTTTATTTTATCTTTTTTATTTATAAATTTATATATATTGATTATTTAATTATAAAATCCTATGAATACATTAGAGGTGATTGGAAGGGTCTACCTATAAAGATGAAAGTGGCCTTGTTTAAAGAATCTGATTTGTAGAACCCTTTTGATAATATCTAAAAAGTAGATCCCTTTTGATAATATCTAAAAAGAATTAGTTGATTAATTTATTTAATTTTTTAATAGACCTTTTTGTAAAAAATTAATTAAAATAATTAAATTTTAGACGATAATAGTTGAAATTGATTGGAAAAGTCAAAAAATAAAAAGAAAATTTACCAATAAATTTCATCTTGACGAATGGTGATCTATTTAGTTCTAAAGATTTTTTTATAGACCAATTAGTCTCATTGATTTTGAAAAGGTAGATTTAATATATTATTTAAAAATTAGATTTACGGTTATACCCTTTTTTTTTTCCTTTTGTACTAGAAAGGTAAGATACACAATATATGATAATCAAATTTGGGATAAATTTTTATATAAAAATCGTTTTTATTTGGAAAACGTTTTAAAAGGAATACAAAAATGACTTAAAATATGAAAATTTTCAAACATTTTAAAAGGATGAGAGATTTTTCAAATATTTCAAAAGAAGTACAAAAACTACTTGGTAAGTTTTGACCAAATGTATAATTTCAAACTGTAATGCTGCAATGTAGCACTTCAATGTGACACTCAAAAAAAAAAAAAATTAGTGTAATACCCTAATGTAACACGTAAAAAAACTCTTTACTGTACTTTTTTCAAATGTAACACTCCAAATTTTTTTAATATAACATTCTAATGTAACACACAAAAAAACTTTTTAGTGTATTTTTTTTCAAACGTAACATTCTAATATAACACTCCAAAAAAACTTCTTAATATAACACATAAAAAAATTTCTTAGTGTATTTTTTTCAAATGTAACACTCTAATATAATAATCTAAAAAAACTGCTTAGTATAATGCTCTAATGTAACAGACACAAAAACTTTTTAGTGTAACACTCCAAAGTAACCAAAAAACAAAAAAAAAAAAACCTTAGGCCTCGTTTGGGAACTATCCATTTTAGCTAAAAAGTCAAAAAGTTACTAAATTAACCAACAAGCCAACAAGTCATACCAAAAAGTCAAAGATTCTTTTTTCTCTCTATTTTTTGCACATCTTTTCGTAAAAAGCCAAAAAGTCTTCCCAAACATACTAGTTTTTTTAAGCTCATATTTTAGCCAAATAGCCAAAAAATTACTAAATTAGCCTGTTCCCAAACGAGGCCTTAGTGTATTTTTTTTTTCCAAATGTCACTCTAATATAATAATCTAAAAAAACTCATTTGTGTAACTCTCTAATGTAACACACAAAAAACTTTTTAGTGTAACATTTTAATGTAACAAACATAAAAACTCCTTAGTATATTTTTTATAAACTCAACATATATAAAACTCTAAAAAAAGCTCTTAGTGTAACACTTTAATATAATACACAAAAAAAAAATATTTAGTGTACTTTTCTCAAACGTAACGTTTTAATGTAACCAAAAATAAAATAAATTCCGTAGTGTACTTTTTCTAAGTATAACACTCCAATGTAATACTAAATAATAAAAAAAATGAATGTGGGATTCTTCCAACCATTTCAAAAGGAGTACAAATATTCTTCAGTAAGTTTTGGGCAAATGTATAATTTCAAACTGTGAGTGTTACGTTTGTAAAAAGTACATGTATTACATTGGAGTATGTTATATTGAAATGTTAAGTTTATGATTATACTGATTGAAGTGTTACGTGAGAAAGTACACTAAGAAATTTTTTTTATGTGTTACACTGGAGCATTACATTTGGAAAAATTACACCAAAGAGTGTTTTTTGAGTGTTACAACATTTGTGAAAAGTATACCAATGAGTTATTTAGTGTGTTATATTGAAGTGTTACGTTATTGGAGTATTACATTAGAGTATAAAGTTTTTGTTCATAATGTGAGATTTATTCTAGAACGAGCGAAAATACAAAACATCTATAGTATAAATTATCCAAATGTGTAATTTTACATTTTAAGAAATCCACTTTTGTTTCTAAAAAATTAAACCAAAACATGGAAGTAACTACCTTTTATGTAATTTCCACTTTAATAAGACTTTTGGGTTTATAAAAAAAAAGAAGAAGAATTAAATAGTTCACAATATCATATTTTGAAATTAATTGGTGTTTCACACAAAATAAAACACTCAATTACATTACTTTTTTTATTTTTTAAAAATATTTTATTATAAAAAATTAAAAAATCAAATAAAATTGACAATTCACAAACAAGGCCGAAGAACCCTTAATTAAAATCTGAACGGTCCATTAGCTTCCAAACGTCTGCACAGCATCTCCATTATCTGAACGGTCCATTCTTCTATCTCTCTCTTTGTCTCTCTCCCTCTCTCTCCTCTGCAATTCTGGCTTACCAAAAATAGAATGATCTCTTTCTTTCTATCTCTGGACTCTAGCATCACATGTATGTATACCCAGAAATACATGTATACGTATGAACGAAATCCTCTCCATTCCTAATTATTATTATTATTATTTTGGGGTTTCGTTAAATTTGAGTGAAAGTTTGGTTAAAAGCTTGATCCATATAACACTTCAATCTTTCTTTTCATCAAAATATTTTTGAAAAACCTGATTTAACTATTTTTATAAAAGAAAACAATTTTCAATCTTTATTATGTTTTAAAATTTCATCAAATTTTGAGTAAAAATATGACTGCTGGGAATTTGGTTCACGATTTGGTAAAAAAAAGTTGTTTTTCATATGAATTTGATGAAATGGTGTTTTTTTTTTTTTGGAACTAGTGGAATGCTAAGGATGGCAATTTGAAACCGGCCCGATGAGACCCGACCCCCATCCTGATTAGAGCGGTTTTTCCTCGAAAAATATCTCCAACAAGCTGGAGATATGGTACTCAAAAATAAATCCCCAATAATTTTCAGACCGAAAATGGTGATATGTTTTTCACTCCTGACCCTGACCCTGACCCGTCCCCGTCCCCGTTAGCCCCCCGAATTAAAGTAGTGTTTGAGAAGTTTGTGTGTTGGGTTTTTTTGATTTTTTACACTAAAAGACAAACTTTTGCAAAGGAAAAAAAAAAAAAAACAAATTCACACAAAATATCTCATCCAACTCCATAATCATTTCACTTTTTCTCTCACAAATATCACATCGAATCACAAAAAACCTAACTATCTTTCCAAACACTAAAATTTTTTTATCTAATAATATCCTACAACTAAAAAAATTTACATAAAAACTCACTTCCCAAACCGTCACTAAAAAACCCTATATGTATCCCTTAATGGGAGTGTTTGAAAAGATGGGTTTAAAGTTAAAATAGTCTCAAACTAAAAAAAAAGTAGACAAAAAGTCCCTAAATCAATCCTTTTTATTAAAAAAAATAAAAATAAAAAGTAACTGTAGCCATCGGACAGTGCAGGGACAACCTACATTGTCATATGGACAAGTTGTTCCATCACTTGATAAATTACGATTTTATCTTTTTACATTAATTTAAAAAATTTTAATCTTAAAGATAAATTTATCATTTTAACTTTAAATATCATTCCAACACTTTTTTTAATATAACAATTCAAATAAAAATATCTCATATTTTTGGACATAAAAACTGAAATAATATACTAAAATAACTAAAAATCAAAAAGTCCCAAACGAGGCCAATATAAGCCCTATGTTCTGTCTCTCTCACTCTCTCTCTTCCCTCTACGCTCTTCTCACTCTCGCACCTCTCTTTTTCCTTTCTTTTTTCCTTTTTTTTTTTTTTTTTTTTACCTAAAATGGAATTTCGGGGCATTCGACCCCCGAAATTACGGGCCCTCAATCAGCACCGTAACTAAAAATCAAAAAGTCCCAAACGAGGCCAATATAAGCCCTATGTTCTGTCTCTCTCTCTCTCTCTGCCCTCTACGCTCTTCTCACTCTCGCACCTCTCTCTCCTCTCTCTCACTCTCGCACCTCTCCTCTCCGCCTCCTCAGCGCAGCCGTCGCTGTCCTAGACGCCGGAATCGCTGTCCACCTCGCACCGCCGCTTCACCTCCGTCGACTCCGCCGTTCGCTCCACCTCCATCGCTGCCCTCTCTCTTCCTGTCCGTTGAGTCACCGTCGTCGCAGTCACACTGAGATCTCAGATCTGTATTGATCTCCTCCGTCGTCGCCGCCGATCAGTCGATCTCCGCCGATCTCCTCCATCGTCCTCTCTCTCTCTCTGTGTATACATGTATGTGTGTGTCTCTGTGTATATGTATAATGTATGTGTGTGTCTCTCTCTGTGTGAATGTATACATGTAAGTATGTATGTATGTGTGTGTCTCTCTTTGTGTATGATTTTTTGAGGATGTTGCTGATGATGTTGAAAGTTGTTGATGGTGTTGAATGTTGAAACAGATTTGGATCGGGCAATTTTCGGGGCCGGGGAAACCCGATCCCCGTTGGGGGTGGGGAGGGGGACCGTGATAGGTTCCCTGTCGGGAATCGGGGCCGGGGATGGGGAAGTTTTGGCCATTGGGGATCGGGGACGGGGAGTGGGATCCCCGGCCCCGTCCCTGTCCCGCCACGTTGCCGTTGCCATTCCTATGGAGTACACTTTTAGCCATTTTTTAAAATTTGAATTTAATGAAAAAATTGATGAAATGCTTGAAAATGTTCTAAAACAGAGCAAGCCTCCAATTGCCCAACCCATGTACTTAGACCCCAAATGCTTTATTTATTTGGGTAAATTATACTGAACTCCCCGAGATTTGAAAAAAATAGAGCAAGCCTCGTACGTTTGGCATAATTAACACTTGATCCTCTTTTTTATCATAAATTCCTTAGTCGTATATATGAAAAAAAAATGATATTATCATCTTTTTTTTTTTTTTATATATATTGAAATATATATTTTATCTTGTGTAGCTTTGTGTTTTTATACTATCTGCATTACTTTTGGTCTCTTTAATCTTACTGAAAGGAGGTCAATGTAATTATGTTAAGACTGTGAAACTACTTGTATTTTCTCCAAGTTTTCAAGATCAGTGTAATTTATCCTATTTAGTTTTATTACCATTTTACCATAACACAACTTTCTTATTTTATCCCCATCTCTAACCTCTGAATCTTAATCCTAATCCTAATCCCAGCCACCACCACCAACAACTCTGGCCACCTCCCCCGTTTGCCCCTCTTTGGCAAACCTCCCGAACCTTGCTTCCCCTTCCTAGCCCCACCCTGCTAGCCCGTCCCTCCCCCAGCCTCCTTCACCCCACCACTTCCCTTTTGTGTCACCCCTACTCCCTTTCACCCCCTCTTTCCTTCCTCTTCTCGTCTTTCTTCTTCTTCATCTTTAGCCTCTCTTCCTCTTCGTGGCCTAAACCTTAGATTTGAAATCCCTTCAAGGTTTAGGCGGCAAGGAGGAAGAAGAAGGGTGTCAGGGCTAGGGGCTCTTAGGGAGGAGAATGTGGCTAGGGAAGGCGGTTATCGGTTGGGAGCGGGTTGTAGTGGGGGAAGGGGGTTGTCGGGAAGGAAGAAGGAATTGGGGAAGGGTTGATGGAATGGAGGACTGCGAAAGGGTCGCCGGAGGTGGGGGCGGGGGCTGCCTAATTAAGGTTGCAGAGGTGGGGGTCCAAAGGGTAGGATTATGGTGGGTGGTCAAAGAAAAATGGGAGGAGAGCACTTTTGGTGTGTGCCGGTCTAAAGAAATGGGGGGTCAAAGTAATTAGGTGGGGTTGTTAGCAACTCCCCATATATATGTCCACCCACAAATTCATGATCTGCATATGTTTATACACAAGTTATGTATTGGGCATTGCATAACATGTAGAGGGAAATCTTTCATTCAAATCCTTACATATATACTTTTGATCCAAAAAATTGAATTTTAAAACCCATAAATTTTAAAGTCAAAAGGAAAAAGCATACGCCACAGGAGCACTCATGATTTGAAAGTTCAATTGATATGTAAGAATGTTTTGTTGTGCAAACAAATTGCCGAAAAAGCACAATTCCCATACCAATTGTTTATATGTGTATATGTATTTATACATACATGCCCCAAACTCACTGGACTAATTGATAAAATTTATGTGCATGTGGAATATTTAAGATGAGAAGCACACTTGAGTGAACACATTTCATCTAACTTGTAGTACTTTTCAATCCAGCAAGAGTAATGGCAGAGTCTGTTGTCGCCTTCGCCGTCAAAGGACTTGGTGTTTTAGTGATTCAAAATGCACAATTCTTGTATGGTATAAGTGACCAAGTGGAGCAAGTTCAAGCACACTTAAGGCAGATGCAATGCTTCTTGAAAGATGCAGATGCAAAACAAGATGAACATGAGACCATCTACAATTTGGTTGCAGAAATTAGAGAAGTTGCTTATAGCGCGGAGGCTGTTGTTGAAACTTTTGTTTTTGAATTGGCATCAAGGAGAGGAGGTTTTCGAAAGATCCTCATCAGATCTGTTGACATCTTGAGTGAAGTTTTAGCCCGCTACAGGATTCGGTCTGAGATTGAAACTATTAAAAAAAATATCAATATTCTCATCTCAAGCTTACAAAGTTACGGTTTAATTGCTGTAATGGAAAGAGAAGGTACAAGTTCTACATATCAAAGGAAACTTCAATTTCGGCGATCTTATTCCCATGTTATTGAAGAGGATTTTGTTGGTTTTCAAGAAGACATGAAGACATTAATCAAACATTTGGTGAATGAAAGAGAACAAAATTGTCAGGTTGTTGCTATTTGTGGCATGGGTGGTCTAGGAAAGACCACCCTTGCTAAGAAGATATACCATCACCAAAGTATTAAGAACCACTTTGATCAATTTGCTTGGGTCTGTATATCTCAACAATGGCAAATAAGAGATATTTTGGAAGGGATTTTTACCAAACTTGTACCAAAGCGGCAAAACCAAATTGCAAACATGAGAGTTGAAGAGCTTGTCAAGCAACTTTACCGAGTCCAACAAGAGAAAAAATGCCTAGTGGTTATTGATGACATTTGGTCATCATATGCTTGGGATAGTCTAAGAGCTGCCTTTCCACTAGGAAGTATGGGCAGCAAAATATTGATTACAACTCGTAATAAAGAAGTAGCTATGCACATAGATCCGACTTGTTTCCTCCATGAACCGAAGTGCTTAAATGAAGAAGAGAGTTGGGAGCTATTTCAGAAAAAGGTCTTCTCAAGAAGAGATGATGCAGGTTAGTCTCTTCAATCATTGAATTTCTTCTCAATTGACTCCCTTGCATCAAATATTAAGGTATCATAATATGTTGTCTAGTGGTTCACTATATTTATTTAGGGTTTAGGTAAAGAGGCAAAAAAATATAGGTAAACGAGAATTTCTTCTGAGTCATCTTCATATATCTCGTTATTGTATTAAGTGCTTTGATCCTGCAATAAAATCTTTCAAGTAACTTTTTCTTAGTCTCATTATTACTTTATTTATTTATTTATATTAAGCCTAGATTTTAGATTTGTTGAGGGAAATGAAGAATTAAGAGAAATAATATTACTTGTAATTATTCATTTTTCTATTAGTAATTGTGGGCAAGTCCCTTGGAGGATTGAATCCCTCAGAAGACATACTTCAAATCTCTTTGACTTAAAATTCCTGCATGTATTGAAGTAAAATGTTAGTTTTCAATGGTAACCTACCATGTGAGGGAGGTTTTGTTATCAGCTAACTACTTAGTTGATTTTGGAACCTCTCCTGGTTTTGCTAGAGAATAAGCTATGGATTTGGGTTTGGGGATAGTAATTAGACCACAAATTTATTAGGGATTATCTTAGCTGGTGGGTGTTGCCTAGGGAAAACGTCTCTTCCTAACCAGGATCAATGAGACACAAAATAGCAAACAAGAAAAATAATCAAATCAAAGAAATTGAACACACACAAGAACACAAGGATTTACTTGGTTCATCCCATAATAAGGTTACGTCCATGGCTACTGCGATTTTCACTATGATCAGAAAAGTGGCACCCCCCTTCATCTATTTATAAGTATAAAATTAAAGCAATGTGGAAGCAACAAAGAAATTACTAAAGTACCCCGTGGACCCCCTCTCCTTGGGGGAGGCCCCCCAAACTCCCCATTGGACCGAGGGTTGAGTGAATAGTACTTATCAGGGTCCACAGACCCCACAGGTATGCCCCTTGTAAATTTGTATTTGCTTTCCATTTTTCAAATGCTTACTTGCTCCTAAAAAACCCTACCATATATTATCAAATGCAATTAGTAAATGTTTCAGATTTAAGGAGGGGCAGATTTTTTCAGATCTAATCTGCAAATGTTTCAGATATAATCTCTATTTGTGAAATGTACAAGTCAACAAATAGTTAGCAGATTTTTTCCACATGTTTAAGCAAATTCAGTAAGAAAGAAATAGAAAATCATTTTTTCTAGTTTCCAATATTTTGTCACGTTATTCTTTTTTATGTACAAGTGAAGGTGTTATATTTATAAACGAGTTCTTCCATTTTATTTGTAACTACACATTTGATCTTTGTTCCTTTTGTAGACTTCAAAGTTGACACCAGGATGGAGATGTTAGTGAGGGAAATGGTTGAACGGTGTGGGGGTTTACCGCTAGCCATTGTTGTGTTAGGAGGAATCTTAGTGACAAAACACACTTGGAGTGAGTGGGAGATAGTTCATCAAAATTTAAATTTGTTTCTAAGGAGGGGCAAAAGCCGTGGACAGCAACATGGAGGAGTAGTGGAGGTGTTGGCTCTTAGTTATCATGACTTGCCATATCGGTTGAAGGCATGTTTTCTTTGTTTGGGAAATTATCCAGAAGATGTTGAGATAGAAGCAGAGAAATTATACCAACTATGGATGGCCGAAGGTATCATATTACCATCATCGTTGGAGGATAAGGAAAAAGGGAAAGAAGAAACAATGATGGATGTGGCAGAATGTTATTTGGATGAATTGGCACAGAGATGCATACTTCAGGTGCAGCTAGAGGAGTACCCAATCAGGTGCCAAGGAAGGTTCAAATCATGCAAGCTTCATGACCTTATGCGAGACCTATGTTTGTTAAAGATAAAAGAGGAAAATTTTCTTAAGGTCGTTCATTTGAAGAGGCATAAAAATGAGCAACAACTAGTGGAAAATTCCTATCCTTCTTCTTCATTATCATCATATAGGAGTAGTCAAATACACAGACTTGCAATTTCCTTTGATGAGAATGTTGATGGAGACCTTTCGCTCCTCAAACAAAAGCAAGTTCAACACATTCGGTCAGCTGTATTTTTCTATGGACGCAGGTGCAGTCATCGACTCTGGGAACAAATCAAACCCTGTATTTTCAACCATCTCAAATTGCTGAAAGTTTTAGATCTTGAAGCAATGGGACATCGATTTTTTAGTGTGAGTGATCTAAAGTTACCAAAAGCAATAGGAAATTTAATCCACTTGAGGTACTTGGGTTTAAGATATTCATGGTTCAACAAGTTGCCATCATCAATAGGCAAGTTGAGGTATTTGCAAACCCTTGATTTACGGACACTATCACATCCATTGATGCCAAATGTGCTACGGAAATTGAAACTACTGCAACATCTTTATCTTCCTCAATCCCTACGTATAGAAAATGGTGGCATGTTACGATTGGATGGGTTGGACAGCCTAGAGATGCTAGAAAACTTCCATACATATTATTGTGATACCAAGGATCTCTTCAAATTAACCAATCTTCGACAGCTAAGGGAAGCAAAAATGTGGGGGAGACATGAGGATATGATCAACTACCTCTTCAGCATCAGCAACCCAAATCAACAACTCTTCCGTCACTCTTCACTTTCTATTCGTGACTCTGATATTTTCTCCAAGGAGTCAAATCTTCTAACACAATTATTGGGGTGTCATCATGTTCATAAATTGGAAATACAAGGGCCTATACAAGTGTTAGCACCACCAATTGACCATCAGATTATCTCTTTGTATTCAAGCAGCAGCCTCACCCAGCTATGTTTGGAGGGATCTCTACTCAAGGAGGATCCTATGTCCACACTGGAGAAGTTGCCTAACTTAAGGAGCCTCGACTTAGATGAAGCCTTCGTGGGGAAAGAAATGGTTTGTTCTGCAATGGGATTCCCTCAACTAAAACATCTAAAACTCAAGGGTTTGCACAACTTAGTGAGGTGGAGGGTGGATGAAAGGGCCATGCCCAATCTTGTGACTATAGAAATTCGAAGTTGCAAGAAGTTGGAGATGCTGCCAAATAAATTGAGATTCGTCCTTCCCCATGGGCAAGTGTTGATTGAAGGGACACCTGAGGAATGCCATTACTCCCCTCGCTCTCCCCCTCCCCTTTCCCGTTCCCGTTCCCTTTCCCGTCCCGCTTCCCGTTCCCTTTCCCGTCCCGCTTCCCCTCCCCCTTTTCCTCTTGACCCTTGGGATTTCTTCTTTCAACCGATATGAGGGACTAAACTGTTTATTAGAGAATCAGTCTTCAGGTATTTTTTTTAATCATCGTCTTATTTTCTTTCCATTGCATTATTAACTGAAACAATTTAAACAGAACAAGAAGAAAATCACTGCACCTTTCACATCTCTCTCCCAAGCCATGATCTTCAATTATTGTTCCATGCACCTATCATCTTAACAACTGTCTCTCCCTCTATCTCTCAGTGCATGGTTTGAATGTCACTTTTCTTCATATTAAGGGTTGTTTTGGGAATTGACTATTTTAGTTGGTTTTTTAGCATTTTACAAAAAGACGTGCGAAAAGTAGAGAGAAAAGTTGACTTTTTTGTAGTGACATTTTGACTTTTTGGCTAAATTAGATTGTTGCCAAAACAGCCCTAAATAACTGAGGCTGTTGCACCAGATGATTATTCCCATTTGTAGCCAACAATTTCTTCCTACTATATACAAACCAGCCATTCCTCAGTACCCATTTTGGATTTGCATAATAATGGAAAAAATGAAAATAGTTCAGACTCCTTTTTCCGTATTTCATCATTCATGGCAAAGTACTGCTCTTGGCTGCAGCATCATCTCCCTGAGATTTCTTTTAAAGATGATGGCCTTGTTTGGTTTAACTCTCAAAACATAATTTTTGAAAAAAATTTCTAAAATTTTGTTTGGTTGGAAATTTTTTGAAATTTTTTTTCCAAAATTACTTTCTATCTCCTACACATCAATCAATCACTTTTTCTCTCTCACACACATTTACCCAACTACAACAAAATATCAAATCATCCCAAATTCTCATGCTCCAGGTTTAACTCTCAAAACATAATTTTTGAAAAAAATTTCTAAAATTTTGTTTGGTTGGAAATTTTTTGAAATTTTTTTTCCAAAATTACTTTCTATCTCCTACACATCAATCAATCACTTTTTCTCTCTCACACACATTTACTCAACTACAACAAAATATCAAATCATCCCAAATTCCCATGCTCCAAAACTATTTTCAAAATATAAATCCAAACAAACCAAAATTTTTTCTAAACTCTTTTCCCAAGATTTTTTTTAAAAAATTTATCTCCTTTTAGAAGGACCCCAAAGAACCGTGTGCTGGGTCATCATATAATCATGCACTCAAAGGTTCTGTGTGTGTTTGTTTGTCTGTCTCTATAAGTTTATGTCTGTACATACTTCAAACCAGAATTAAAATACCATTATCCATCATTAGTCATTTAAATAAGAGACAAATGTCATGTCACCATAGCTTTTTAGTCAGTATAAATAAAAGTAGGGTAAATTACAAACACTTCCTGAGGTTTACTTAAATTACAAATTACTCTTTGTGGTTCTAGAAATTGCATTATGTCCCATAAGATTTCTAATTTCATAACAAATGGATCCTTTTATTAATAAATCATCAAGTTAATTAACGGTATTTAATAATGTTAAAATTTTATTTCAATTAATAATTTAGATAATTTTATTATTGTATAGGTGAACGGTTAGAAATTTCTCCTTTTCAACTAATTCTGTTAAATAAAAAATTCTGAGAGGGAGATATTTGTAATTTTTCAAACCACAGGGGGACAATTCTTATTTTAAGGAAACCTCAGGTGGTGTATTTGTAATTTACTCATAAAAGTGACATAGAAACCCATTAAGCTCCATGATTTCTAGTTTTGGAGAAGAAAAGAAACTACTTATAAAAGAAGAGAATGAATTGAATGGCTTAGTCTAGAATGAAGATTAGTTTGTGTATATATATTGCAAGATACCTAGAAGATAGGAAAAAATATAAAAGGAAACAAAATCAAAGGGCCTAAACAATGGCCATAAAATAAGACCTAATCAATCTAATTAATTCTTAATTCCGACACTCCCTCTCAAGTTGGTTCAAAGATGTTCACCAAAACAATGGCCATAAAATAAGACCTAATCAATCTAATTAATTCTTAATTTTGACACTCCCTCTCAAGCTGGTTGAAAGATGTTCACCAAACCTAGCTTGGCAATAGAAGACTGTAGTAAAGTTGGACCAACTAATTTGGTAAACATATCAGCAAGTTGCTCAGACGAAGAGACAAAGGACTGACTCCCAACATTTGTCCTAACCTTTTCTCTGATAAAATGAATATCCACTTCTATATGTTTAGTGCTCTCACGAAGAACTGAATCAAATGCCAACATAATTGCACACTTATTGTTACAGAATAACAGAGATGAGGTATTTTCCTGAATATCCAATTTTGCAAGTATTGAACTAAGCCATAGTATCTCACAAGTGCCCTGTGCCGTAGTACGGTACTCAGCCTTAGCTGAAGATTTCGAGACAATTGCTTGTTTCTTACTCTTCCATGATATAAGATGATTATCATAGAATGTACAGAAACCAGAAGTAGAACGCTAATTAGTCTTGTAGCCAGCATAATCTACATTAATGAAACATGACAACCCAGGCTGAATGCCTGCAGAGAAGAATAGCCCTAAATAAGGAGTAGTCTTCAAATATCGTAAGATATGATAAACCGCATCAGATGAGTTGTACGAGGTGCATGCATAAATTGATTCACAATAGTTATAGCAAATGTCAAATCTGGTCTAGTGTTGATTAGATAAATCAATTAACCCACTAACTGTTGATACATGTCTGGATCACTCAATACCTCACTAGATTTAGCTGTAAGCTTCAAGTTAGGATCCATAGGTGTGTTTACAACCCATCATACCAATATCTTGAAGAAGATCCAAGGTATACTTTATTCAAGACAAGGAAATCCCTCGACGAGAATGAGCCACCTCAATACTAAGAAAGTACTTGAGAGGCAATTCTTGTCGTATCGTCACCTGTAAGAATAATATCATCAACATAGACAAGCAAAACTATGGACTGGTCATTCGCTTGTCGCCTAATGAAGCAGGTATGGTCAGAGTGGCACTGAACAAAGCCCATAGATAGGAAAACTTTGGTGAAATGATTGAACTAAACTTGAGGAGATTGTTTAGACCATACAAAGACTTGTGAAGTCTACACACTTTCCCTGCATACTCCCCTTCAGCCCGAAACCCAGGTGGAGGATCTATATAGATAGTCTCAAGTAAGTCCCCATGGAGAAAAGCATTCTTGACATCAAGTTGGTGAAGAGGCCAAGAATGAGCAGCAACCAAAGAAATAAGAAGGTGAACAAAAGTCAGTTTTGCCACTGGCACAATAATCGCACCAATATCTTTACCAGGGACGTGAGTGAAGCTCTTAGCAACCAAACGAGCCTTATAGCGATCTATGGACCCATCAACATGGTATGTAATAGTGAATACCCATTTACATCCAACCGTCTTCTCAAAAGTAGACAATGGAACAAGCTCCCATGTCTGATTTTGTTCTAAAGCATCCATCTCTGCCTTTATAGCTGCTACCTACTTGGGATTCTGGAGGGCCTCAGAGATTGAACAAAGAATAGAAACAGACTCAAGTTTGCCCAAAAAAAAGCTGCAAGAACTTGTAAGACACTCATAAGAGAGATACTGGGAAATAGGATGATTAGTACTACTAAGCCAACCATAACGATTCAGAGGACAACGCTCTCTATCAAGATATTGAGAAAATCGTGTAGGAGCAAGAGGAGGAGAATTACTTGACCTGAGAAGAGAAGAGGATTCTGGTGGGGGCCGAGGGTGACGAGTGTAAACCTTCAGAGGTGGTGTGAGGTAGAGATGGTGGAGGGCTAGGTTTTTTAGAATTATCCAAGGCATCTGATATGTTGGGATCAAAATGGAAACAAGACGAGTAGGAGAAGGTGAGGGAGAGGAAGGAACCACAGAAGGTGCCTACAAGGGAATATTAGAACAAAAAACGGCAAATCCTCATAGAAAGTGACATGCAAAAAATGATAAAAATGCCGAGATATGGGATCATAACATCTATACCCTTTAGATAAAGACGAGTACCCTAGAAAAATGCAACGGACAGCCCTATCATTTAGTTTAGTGTAGGAAGGACTCTGATTCCGCACAAAGCAAGTACAACCAAACACACGAGGAAGGGTAAGAAACATGTTGCTTTCAGGTCTAAGGACTTGAAAAGGAGCAAGACCTTGCAAGACACGACTCAGAGTGCGGTTAATTAAATAAATAGCCGTAAGAATAGCCATAAATGCCAGTACTGCTTGGGAATATTCATACCACGAAGAATACACCGAACGATAGACATAATATGGTGATTCTTTTGTTCAGCCACCTTATTTTGTTTACGAGTACGATGACAAGTAAGTTGTTGGAGAATACTTGCCTGATTAAGATGAGAGTGAAAAGCATCTGAGATGTACTTCCCCCTATTATTAGAGCGGATATTCAGGATAACAGACTTATATTGAGTTTTAATCACTTGTAGGAACTGAACAAAAATGGGAAAGACCTCAGATATACGTCTAAGAAGTTACACCCGTGTACACCTAGTGTGATCATCAATAAAAGTCACATAATATCTATGACAAAATAAAGCAAGTACAGGAGAAGGGTCCCAAACATTAGAATGAATAAGGTCAAAGGCACACGGTGCACGAGTTATATGAGGAATATAATTATTACGAGTACGCTTAGCCAACTCACAAATTTCACAATGAAAATAAGAATCAGTATAGGCTTTATTTAAAGAGGGAAGAAATAAACATAAATATTGAAAGTTTGCATGACCTAAACGAGCATGCCACAAGGCTACAATTTTACTAGAAAAAACACAAGATACTAAAATAGGCAAAATAGACGATTGCAAACTAGATAAAGGAGGTGGTGGGGGTGAAGGTGGAGGATCCCCAAAGTAGTACAACCCATCGCGCTCAATTCCCTTGCCAAAAATCCTCTTTGAACTGAGGTCTTGTAAAATACAAGACGTAGGTAAGAAAATGATTGCACAGGGGTTTTGCCAACACGACTAACAGACAATAGATTATAAGCAAACTTAGGAACATAAAGAACAGATGAAAGAGATATATCAGGAGTTAAAGACACAACACCCTTATGACTTACAGAGGAGAGAGAGCCATCCGCAGACAAATAGTTTGACTTACAGTAAGAGGGATCGGAGAAGAGAGACTAGTTATATGATCATTAACCCCTGAATCCAAAACCCATGCGGGATGAGTAGACGAAACATGGAAAGTAGTAGAAGTACCTATAGTAAGGGTAACAGTGGGTGTGGATGGACCTGGCTGATGAATAGTAAGAGCACCAAGCTGAGCCTGAAGTTAGCCAATTTGAGACTGAAGCTGATGCAAGTCAGGAACATGAGATGACCTAGTAGCAGGAACTGATTCCACAATAGCAACAGTGCGAGTGGCGCCAGTCTTGCGGTTCCGAGCAAACTGTTGCTTCAATTCAGGATGAAGCTGAAGCAGTGAGCTTTGATATGGCCAGTTTCCCCACAGTGGTGACATGTAATCTTTCCAAAGGAGCCACGAGAGCCAGAGTTAGCAGCAAGAGCCATTTGATCCGGAACAGGAGAAGGCTCTAGAGTAGCAGGAGATGCAGGCTGAACCAAACGGCGATGATGCTTGCCACTATCAATAATAGCAAAGGCCTTGTATAAAGACGGCATGAGAGAGGTGTTCAAAATCTGAATTCGAAGAGACTCAAATTTAGGTTTTAAATCCATAAGAAACTGTTAAGTATGTTGACGATCCAATTGTTTAGAGACGACAGAGGTTGCCTCCACTAGAAAGTCACTTAAGGGCTCATATTGAGCCAATTCCTCCAGTCGAGCTTGTAAATACCCAAAGAATTCAGCAACCGGGAGACCCAAAGCTGTCTGAGAAGCATGAGAGATGTCCTAATAAAGCTCAAAGATGCGAGCATCATTATGAACATGAGCATACATCTGAGAAAGAGTCTTCCACAGACGTGAAACTGTGTCACAATACATGAACATGTGGTAAATCCGGTCTTCCATCAAATTAAACATCCAGCCCAAAATGACACAGTTATCAATATCCCACTATCTACGCTTAGGATCATCATCAGGAGGCTTGAGTCTTAGTCATAAGGAGCCAATGAGACTTGCCTTTGCCCCTTAAGTACAATTTCAGAGAGCGACTCCATGCAACGAAGTTCTTCCCATTCAACAAGAGACTCGTAATATGATGAGTCAGAGCTTGTTGAGAGAGGGAAAAATCGGAACCAATCGGTTTAGCAAGGGGACCAGTTGAATCAGTCATGATAATAGTCATAGTGAACCAAACAACCAGCAATATTACACTCAAAAGTTGGAAAAACGGTGTACTCTGAATGCTACCAAACACACCGGTAGCCCAACACAACAAAAAAAATTAAAAAACGGTGCTTACCACATTAGCACACAACTCCGAACAGGGCACTAATCTACCGAACTGCCCTAGGAAAGGTTGTCGGCTTCAACCCAGGCCTTGAATGGCCTGGTCGGAAAGAGAGAAGGCTCTCTGGGGAGGAGGGAAGGTTTGGCTGCGGTGTAGGAGGCTGCCTTTCCGCTCGAGCGGCAGTTTGGACGCTGCTAGCGGGAGAGAGAAAGAGGGGATGTTGGAGGTGAAGAAGAAGAAAGGGGCTGCAGAGTGGGAAGAAAGGTGGGTTAGGGTTAGGGTTAGGGTTAATGGCTCTGATACCAAAAAGTAGAGAATGAATTGAATGGCTTAGTCTAGAATGAAGACTAGCTTGTGTATATAGACTGAAAGATTATGTACAAGATAGGAAAAAATATAAAAGGAAACAAAATCAAAGGGCCTAAACAATGGCCATGAAATAAGACCTAATCAATCTAATTAATTCTTAATTCCAACACTTGTCAGGTTCCAGAGAAGATAGAAAATGGCTGTTAATCAATTTCCATGTGAAATTTTTTGACAGGTTGGCCCATATGTATGGCTGACAAATGAGGAGGTTTATGATGCTGCTCTTCGAATTGGTTCTGGATGGTCAATCTTGTAAGTTGACAATTTAACCAAACATTAGTTGAAGTAAAGAATGGTTTTTAAGTTTTAAAAACTAGTGTGACTTTGCATATTTGAAACTGATTAATATAAATAGTGAGTTATGCTTTTTCAGGGAGACCAGTGCAGTATATATGGATCCAATTTCCCAGAATGGATAATTTCAATGGAGGTATGCTGTGCTTTGTTTGGTTTGGTATGGTATGCTCTACTTTGTTTCTCTTCATGTAGAAAGAAACTTAATTGCTTTAGTACATACATGGCCATGGCTGTTTCTTAATTATTTTGCTAGTATTTCTTTACTTAGTAAGTCGTATGCCAAAACTATTACCAATTTGAATTGACTATTTTCACATAGGCTTGTAACAGCCATTCCGTAGCCTATTTACCGCTGTATGACACACTCGGTATGTTTTCTTCCTTTTTCATTAAACCAAGAGGTGGTTATTTTGAGCATTTGTGAGCTCGAAATGCAGGGTATGTGGCTAAAGTTAATTTAAACTTTACCAACCACCGGCCATTGAATCAGTCTTAGTTTGTTCTGCTGGTGTCACTGATGCAAATTCTGTGGAATTCATCATCAACCATCCTGAAGTTTCGATAGCTTTTGTTCAAGAGAATCTGTATGTTCTCATTGCTTCTCCCTAGATCAAGAATTTAGATTTTTTGGGAATTATCATGATCACTTTTCTAGAGTTGCAATCTATGAAGCATATGTACTTTGACAAACATTTCGCATCTACCGGGTACTGGTATTTTTCATGATTCTTCATATGTACCGGGTATATGCAACACGAACCCAAAAAATTTTCTTCTTAATTTTGGCCTACTCTAGAGGTACCTAGTATATGCCTAAGTTGTACCTCCAGCTGGAATAGTATTTTCTTTTACGTAGAGGTAAAGTTAGACTATTTTTTTTTAATTTTTTTTTTTATAGTATAATTTTATAACAACAATGCTACATTCACACAATTTTTCCTCCCGAATCACCCTTGAATATGTTTCTGATCAGTAAGAAAATGAGTTTTTACTGGTTAGAATCATTTTCTTAACCGTTAGAAACACACATTAGGGGGAGAAAATTGTGTGGATGAATAATTTTTTATTTTAAAATTAAGCTTTGGTTTGCAAGTTATTTAATATAATGACATTTAATTTTGATCTGTACCTTACTTTTGGCATTAAACTTTTGGCATTAAACGTAAATTGTAGGTTGAATCTTAATCAACTAAATCATTTAACTAATTTTTGCATTATTCAAATTAAAAATAAATATTCTTTTACAAACGTACCCAGCTACACCGGTACCCAACTTTTTTGAGATTTTACCATTTCGACATACCCGTACCGTACCAATATCAATGTGTACATGTGCTTCATAGGTTGCAAATCATTCACTACTTCACCCTAAACACACCCTTGTCAGCTGTGAGCAAACTTTAACTGAACCATCTGAAACTTTAATTGATCTTTTGATATCTGAATAATGAATTCGTAATACTCCATTAAGCAATCTAATGAAGAGGTACCAATCCTAGAAATCAAATAGTGTACTGAGCTCGAGTTCAATTCTAGACTCTACTTCACGAATATATCTTTCTATTTGTTTGACTATCCACATTGCTTCATTGTTTTCAATTCCAGTTCTACTATCTCCAAAAGTTCAATCCTGGATCTTCATTTACTTCATTGTATTAGGCTTTGATTCTTGAATAGCAAGATAAGTGGGTATTCATTTTGGTTGAGTTTTCGTAATCTATTTTCTGTTTTTTTTCCCCCTCCAAAAAATAGAAACTAGTTTGATGAAAATAAACACGAAAAAAGGTGGGTCATAAACTCATAATATTCTTCTTTGTAATACTTTATTTTAACTTGTGCAGATGCCAATATGCCTTCGAAGGTGTACTTCACATATAAAAGTAAGTCATAACTCATAAGGGTAATTTTTTTAGAATGACTAATACTTAAATGTACATTCCGGTAGTGAACTAAAAACAGCTTATGCTATTGCCGGCTTTGGGAGATTTCTAGCATGCGAAAGAAGGAAGCTGAGGACCTGTCTTGCTTCTCTTGGAAAGAATTTGCTCTTTTGGTAAGACCTTCACATCAATGCTTTATTTACAGCTCAAGTAGTACATTCTTTGTTGTTGTCATCTTACCCTGTTTATCGATCTTTTTCAGGGAAGTTTGGATCGAGTTTCCTCGATCTGACATCTGCACGATTATGTATACAAGTGGAACGACAGGAGAACGTAAAGGTGTTGTTTTAACTAATGGGACGATCATGGCAGAAGTTTGTCTACAGATCAATGTCTTGCTTCTCTTGGAAAGAATTTGCTCTTTTGGTAAGACCTTCACATCAATGCTTTATTTACAGCTCAAGTAGTACATTCTTTGTTGTTGTCATCTTACCCTGTTTATCTATCTTTTTCAGGGAAGTTTGGATCGAGTTTCCTCGATCTGACATCTGCACGATTATATATACAAGTGGAACGACAGGAGAACGTAAAGGTGTTGTTTTAACTAATGGGACGATCATGGCAGAAGTTTGTCTACAGATCAACTGTTATTTGAAACAAAGAAAGTGGTAATGATTAAATTTCATATCTTTCATGTTTCAAAAGTAACTGATTTCAAACCTTGCTCTGAAATTTGAACCTAAGAAGAAATCTTTCTGCTTCCCTTTAAAAGAAGTAACTTTGAGCATTGATTGTTGGTGTGTGTATTGTTTTGATCATAATCATTATCATCTCTAGATTTTCATTCGCAGTATATCAGATGTAACAACTAATGTTAACAAATATTTGTGAAATTTACACAAGTATGCAAGATAGTTTTGTGTCCATATTAAATGTGTAGCATCCTCATTGGTCATCAAAGTTCTTCCAAGATTTGAATCTCTGCAATTGTATTGACATGTGTCCTAGTTGAAATCAGGGTATGATTGGAACTTTTCTATAATGAAGGTTTCAATATAAACTACATTGTTCTGAATGGCTTAATATGGTGGCTTCTGACTCAATTGCAGATTCCTGTTATTTTAGTATTATATCACGTTGAAGCGACTCATACCCTCATTCAAAGTTACTTTTATGCGTGACTTTGACCTCGTTTGGCAAGTGAGTTGGGTTTAGGTTGGGATTAAAAAAGTACAAAAAGATAAAATAGGCTAAATAAGCCAATAAGATAAAATGTCACATTCAAACTATAATCATTTTATTTATTTATTTATTTTCTCTCACAAAAATGCAAAAAAATCAAAAAAATTATTCCTAAACGGAGCTAATTAGTCGGGCTAAATTAGCCAAAAAGTTAAAAAGTCCAACTAAAAAAATTCTTCCCAAACGAATCCTAGTCTCAACAAAAGGGATATGGAACGATAGTAGGTTTGAATCTGGCATTTTTTATTTATATAAAAAAAAAAGGTTTGAATTTGGCATTTTGAAGTTTAGTTCTTTTGTGTTGATGTTTGTCTCCATTTGACCACTTGAGCGTATTGCTCTTTGTTGACAAAATGAGGTTCATTTAGATTTGGTTACACTGATTAGCTATAGTGTAGAGTATCGTTTAGTCCTGTGGATTGAAAAATGAAAATTTATGTATTTACAAATAAGGTCCTTAACTTGTTATAATTGATGAAAAGATAAGTTTGGGATAACAGTGAAATTTTTAAAAACATTTTGATAGAAGTTTGATGAAAGGTTGGAGTAGTTCATATCATATCAAACTTAACTTTTTACTCAAATTCGAAATGAAATTAGATATTAAAAAAAATAGATGAAGGTTCTAACACATTCGTTAAATGTTCATCAAATCAAGGGAAATATATATATTTTTTATTATCAAATTTGATGAAAAAATAAATGCATTTGGAATAATAAGAACAAAAATTTAAATTTTTTTATGAAAATTTGATGAGAGAATTGAAGAAATTCAAATCAAATCAAGTTTTTTTACTCAAACTTTGAATCAAATTAGATGAAAAAATTGATAAAGGATTGGACAATCTCTATTACCTGCCAAAATTGACTAGGATAATCATTCTGTTTGGTTTTGAGTTTTCAAAACTGTTTTTAAGTTTTTATTTTTCGTATTTTGCTGTTTTTAGTAATTTTTTTCTTCATATTTTAGACATTTTTTAATTTTTTTTTTACTTTTTAGATACACCGTATCTAAATATATTAATAAATTAATAAATTTGTGAAAAAATCTAAATAGAATTCAATAAATACAAAAAATTACCAAAATGTGCTTAATTTTTATATTTTTTTATTCAATAAATTTAGTAAATTCTTAAAATATTCTTAATTAAAATATTACAAAAAATTCAGTTTGAAAAGTCCAAAACTTTTTTGAAAAATCCAAAAGCATAAAGATTTTCATTTATTTAATTAATCTAAAAGACACTAACTTTTTTTTTTTTTTGGATCAGCAACAAACAAAGATAAAAGACTAACTTTTTTAACTTGCACTATAGTCTTCCTCCAAAAGATTCACACTTTGAAGCTTCACTCTCTTGCTGCTTTCCTCATCTGAATCTATGGTTCCAAACATCTCCACGGAATCACAGGTCCTCACTACCCTTTTTTTTCCTCTTTCTTTATATTTATGATTTATTATTATTGCCATTGAAAAACAGCTTTAGTTTTGTGTCTTCTGTTGCTTTTTTTTTCTTTCTAGAATTTAATAAGTTTTGGTTAGAATTAAAATTGAAACTAGATTTAAAGTGTAGAGATCAAATTGTTCAATTTGAAATTACAGGGATCAAAGTAAAATTAAATTAGGATCAAACTACTAGGTTTTAAAATGTAATTAAGCCTTTTTAATTTATTCATTTTTCAATGATTTTGTAGACTTTATCCACAAAAAACTAAATGAGATATTTTAATTTGTAAAAAAAATTGAATAAAGGTCACAGACGACAAAAATGGACCAACAATTTGAAACAGAGGGAGAATTAAGCAAATATGACTATTATGGACATGAGGATTGGATGAACTGGACACTTGTACAATGCCCAACCAACTTGTGTCCATGTAACATAGTTAGATAGGTACCTATATATTCCTGAAGGGAAATGTTGCATGGTTCAAGTCAAATTGGTTGTCACAAATTTTAATGTTTTTGTTTGGTTAGAAAGAAACTCTAGGAAATTGAGAACATTAATAAGATTTGGATTGTGAGGGAACAAAGAGCTCTACTTAATCATGCTTCCCTGGCTTTTTATCTCACTGTATATGCATGCGCGTAATAGTGATTTTTTGCAAAGCTTAGTTGCAAATTCATATGTGAATAAGTGAAGATTGCATCGATCTTGTATATAGTAAGGGCTCTTAACGATTGAGCAATTAGCATCTTGAACTTCTACTTAACTGTGCCTAAGCACCTCTTTGGCTAGCTATGAAACATTTATTATTAAAAATCAGATGCTATAGCTAGAAAATAAAAACCTTTGCATTATACAATTGATAATCTCGATTTTTCACTGAGATAACTTCAAACAAAGGGGAAAATTCAGGTTGTTTTAGTTGACAGATCTTTGACCAAAATCTGTACTAAAATTGTTATTAAAAGCCTTGTATGAAATGTAATATTTACGTTGTCTGTTTTGTTCTTTCCTCTCATGTTTCTTATGCTGATTTGAGGGTTGCATTGGATTGTTGGAATGGTTGAATGCTGCAGTGGTGCAAAGAAAATAGTCCACAAATATGTGACTTAATTTTTGTAATATTTTTTTTCTTGTTATGAAAAGAAAAATGTTGGTTGTTTTGAGTAGAAATAATAGGAAACATTATGAGCATTAGCTTGTCATTTTGTTGGCAATATATGGGATTTTTCATTTGTTTGGAAAAATCTCAAAGTTAAAGCTTGTTAAAATCCACCTACTCTCCACCTACTTCACCCACTTAAACCTACTGGGATTTTTCATTTGTTTGGAAAAATCTCAAAGTTAAAGCTGTCAACTAAGTTTGGAATAATTGTGTTTAGATGAGCTTGAACTTTGTTTTTCTTGGGGATTAGAAGGAAAAAATTTATGAGTTCTCATTTTTCCCTGTTTTCTTGAAAAACAAAATGTCTAACTCTCTCTCTCCATTTTTTTTTCCTTTTAAAAAATAATGCTTGAGCATGAAAAAGAATTACTTGAATCCTAGGTTATCTTCCTTTAGCGGTGGTAGATTCATTAAGAGTATGATTTAGAGTCTAGATTGTTAATGAGGGTATAGGGCTTAGCTTAAATACTAGTTGTGATGGAGTCTATTAGTAGTTGATCAATTTGCAGTGCATATGAATGTTTTGTGACTAGGAAGTTAAAAGTTTGTGGTATGAACTTTAAAGTTGGAGACCAAGAGGTTGCCTTGATAGATACCGGGCATGGTGCCCAAGTTTGCGTCTCACTATTGCACAATGTTACATGGTCTCTTCTAATTGTATAGAATAACCGTATAGGACACTCGACATTTGGGTGAGGATACGAGATATATATTTGACATTTGTAGTTGGATAACTTAGTAAGCGTATGTAGTAACAAAAATGCTAGAGACCCTAAAAATTCTATCAAATGTCTCACATGGGTGTGTGTGAGACATTTGATAGAATTTTTGGGGTCTCTAGTATTACTCATGTGGTAATTCAAGTTAACCATGAAATTATACTAAAGCCCCCATATTATGCGAGAAGCTCCATGACACCTTATGAACACCATTTTACCATGATAAATAAAGAAGTATATTAAGAACTATGAATATTTTGTTGTGTCCCCATGTCCTCAGACATGTGATTAGATGAATCGACCACTTTGTCACATAACTCGTATTCGACACCAGTACCCGAGTCCATCCCCTTTTCCCTCCTACCAATTGTGAAAAAAGAAACTTCGAAGTTGATAGTCGATGACCTATACTTGTCTTTTGACGGCTTATCTTATTGTTAATTTTAATTATTACCAAATACAAATACTGCATCTACATTTGGATTTTAGGTTTCTTTTATTTTTTTATTAGATATTTTGCATCCGCCTATGTATATGGATTCTTATAAATTTGTAGAGTATGTGTTGTGTAAGGGTATGTGTTGTGTGTCCTACATGCCTAGTTAGAGATATACCTGACAAATATGTATAAGTAATCGAGTTTATTACATAACTATGTACAACACTTGTATTTTATACATAAAAGGTTTTGTTTTAATCTTTAAACATCATTTTACTGCCAAGTTTTAAAAAAAGTAGTTAAGAAATATGAAATAAACACTTGAACTCAGTTTGCACATAGCCAAATAGCGTTTTTTGTTCAATCCTATTGGTATGATTGAGTGATACTTCTTTTGAATGCTGTTGATTCCTTATCTTCTTTTGTTATAGATGAATTTATACTTGAAGATCACCAAAACAGTCGCCTTAGAGGTGAAGACATCAGAGACTAAAAAATCTAAAGGCAATGTTATGTGAGAAGGAAGGCATTTCAGAAGATATTCAGGAGCTCTTTTTCACCGGGGAGCGTCTCAAGGATGAGGACAAGCTGGTTGGTTACGGCATTCATACCAACTCCACTCTCCATCTTGTCCTCCGAAACCCGGGTTCAATAAAATTCCTAGTCTATATATGATCAGACGATAAAACACTTGAAATCGAAGCAAACACTCTTGATACTATCCAAAACATCAAATCCTTGATTCAGAAAAAAGAAGGCATACAATCAGATTGTTACACTTTTTTCTACAGTGGAAAGCTACTGAAAGATAACCAGACTTTGGTCTCTCTCAATATACAGCCAGAATCTATTGTTTGTTTGGTGTTTAATCAAAGAGACGTGCTGTCGATTTCTGTGAAAATGCCTAGTGGAGAGATCTTGAAACCCAAAGTTAAGCTCTTGCACACGATTAGTGATTTCAAGGCAATAATTGCGAGTATGGTTGGTTTTCTGGGAAGCAAGCAGCATATACTGTACGATGGAAGGAGACTCGAGGATGGGAAGACTTGAGCTTTTTATAAAATCGGGGAGAACTCCATCTTACACATGCTGCCTAGGCCTACTTATCCCTTTCAGATATTTGTGAAGGATTGTGATGGAAAATCGTTAATTCTTAATGTACGCAAAGAGGACACAGTCAAGGATGTGAAGGATAACATTTTCGAGCAGCTGGGCGTGTCGGTTGATGCCTATTTTGTTCTGTTTGGTGGAAAAATTCTAGAGGATGACCGTGGTTTGGCTAGTTACAGTATCAAGAAACATTCCACTCTCCATATGTGTTTGTGCCACAGCTACAAATTGCTAAATGAATGCTATTGATCCTGAAAATATTGAAAAAAAAACCTGGTGAAGATGTATTCTGATTGCATATGGAGGATCACTTTTCTGTGTAATGATGGTTTTTTGAAAATGTTTTCAGTGTTTTATATGTTCCATGTTTTGTGACTATCTATTTCGACTACTATCGGTTTTGGACATATTGCAAGCATGTTGTAATATGGATATATGGAGAAAAAGTAGCTCCAATGTGAATGTATGATGTTGCTTTACTTTTTGATGTTCTTTGGTCATTGTGTTCTTGTACTCTCTTGTTCATACGTTAATATTCTAGTCTCAAACCATAAGGGAGGAAAATATTTTATTAAAAAAAAAATCTAGCTAAAGTTTAAAGGAAGACTGATTGACACACTTTGTGGGATTGCTTTATCTTCCCTAGTTCTTAGTTTGATGTCTCGTGATGTTCTTTGGTCATTGTGTTCTTGTACTCTCTTGTTCATACGTTAATATTCTAGTCTCAAACCATAAGGGAGGAAAATATTTTATTAAAAAAAAAATCTAGCTAAAGTTTAAAGGAAGACTGATTGACACACTTTGTGGGATTGCTTTATCTTCCCTAGTGGTGAGGACAGAGAAAAGAACTGTTGGTGAATATTGGGTGGATCCAACTGGTGGTTAAGCTTGCATGGATTCTCTGTCCCTCTCTCTCTCAATCGAAAAAGCAGGTGGGCAAGACCAACGTGTAGCAACTCTCTTTGGACGTGACCATAGGAGTCTTGACCAGTTTGGAGAGCCAGACGGGCATAGGATGAGCCTAGATAGGCCCAGCAATGCAGGATGCTGCACATCTCTTGTGTGAAGGTTTTGTTTTTTAGTCTCAATCTGTGATGCCCAAATTATAATGGAGCAACCTTACTGATATACTAAGCTCCATCCTCAAGCATAATTCACATACCGTTGAAAAAGAAAAAGAAAAAAAGGTTAGATGTAAAGATTGGGCTTAATAATTAAATCGAATCGTGTAAGATGCAGTGTCATTAAGTCATGGCTCAATTTGTGCTTCAAATGGGCAAATCAGGGTTTTATTTTCCTTAATTTGCGTTGTTCAAATTTTGATCTTAGTTTGATGTCTCGTTGGCAAGTTGGACATTGATAATGGTGACGGATTGACGAAATCTCAATTTGAATTCTATGCTGTCTGCCATCTCATTCTGTTTTGAATTGAAATGAATCAAATACAACAGGTTACATAATTTGATATGAGAATTCTGCACAAAAAAATTGTTTATATAATATTAGTAGTGGTTAAAAATTATGGCTGCAAAAGATCTAAGGTGTTGAACTCAATCATGTTTGCACCCATCTTTGGTTATGAAATTAAGTAGGTGTTTGGGAAGTGGGTTTTTATGTAGGTATTTTTAGTTGTAGGATATTATTGGAGAAATTGTTTTTGGTGTTTTGGAAAGATAGTTGAGTTTTTTTGTTGTTAAATGTGATCTTTGTGAGAGAAAAAGTGAAATGATTATGGGATTTGATGTGATATTTTGTTTGGATTTGTTTTTTTTGGTTTTGCAAAAACTTAGTCTTTTAGTGAAAAAAATCAAAAAAAATTGTTGCCAAACACCACCTTAGTGTTTGGTCACAAGACAAAATAGCGTTAGTTATCGACTCAAAAAATGATCTTAGGTTTGTGAGAATATTATGTAATTATGGAAATCTATGTGTAGGAGAGGGTTCAAGAAAAGAGTTAGAAAATTCGAAGATCTTCGAAGATCCTTGAAGAACAACTTCGAATTCTTTGTGAGAGAAAAAGTGAAATGATTATGGGATTTGATGTGATATTTTGTTTGGATTTGTTTTTTTTGGTTTTGCAAAAACTTAGTCTTTTAGTGAAAAAAAATAAAAAAAAATCCAAAAAAAATTGTTGCCAAACACCACCTTAGTGTTTGGTCACAAGACAAAATAGCCTTAGTTATCGACTCAAAAAACGATCTTAGGTCTGTGAGAATATTATGTAATTATGGAAATCTATGTAGTTATGGAATTAGCTTGATTGTGAACATTCGATTGATTATATTTTCTATTCTTGATTAGGGTTAGGATTCCTATAAATATTGGTTGTAATGTTTGTATTATTTACAAGTTGAATATGCATAAATATTCATAAACTTACATAAATTCTCACAACTTACAAGGTTATGTTCAGATGACAAAAATGGGGAGGCAAAATGAGAATTTCATTCTAGGTCTCTTTCATTCAGTTGTTTTGGTTCGTTTAGAAATGAAAATGTGATTCCCAATTTCTCTCTAATTCATATCATCCAAACATAACATCAATTATGAGACAAGTGGTGTTGATTAGGAAACAAAGTGGTTCAAATTTTCTCTCTTAGATTCTCAACAACTGAAAATTGATTTGCAATGTGCACCATTTAAAAAATGTATACCATATTCTTTCCATTTCAAAATTGATAGGTACACTATCTACAAAACTACAACATTTCCACTCCTAAAATTCATATTCCATACAAACACTTACATATGCTTCAGCAGTCTAATACGAGCTCTGTTGAGAGGGAGAAGATCGAGTGCACAAGACTTTTGCTAAAATGGGATTTTGAGATATGCAGTCTTACTCCAATCTTTGGAGAAACTGTTTCTGTGATTAAACTCCGTGTCACAAAGTATGCTAATGACAAGCCTTACTGCTAAAATAAAACAAAAAGAGTGCGAAAATTGCTGGCTCTCTGCTTGCATAAACATAAACACGTTCTCAAATTCATCCTGGAACAATTGGCCTTCATAAAACTGTTTTCGAGTTCTTCAAAAAAAATAAATTAAAAACAGGTCATGAAAACAATAGCCTTCAAGGTAAAAGAGCAATCAGAAATCTGAAAGCAATCGAACTTGCCAAGGTGTTTTAATTTGGGAATCCTCAGGTGCCTCTTCTTGATTGTGTGCTTCAAGCCTTCAAACTGGATCAGAAATAGCCAAGTGTTGATCACAGAATTCAAAAACATTTGTGAAACTAAATAAATACACAAAACAGACAATATACAAGAGTGCTGCTTCAAATTTCTAGAGGAATTGTAGTGTCCTTCAAAATTTCCAATTTTTTATTAGTTTGATTTCTAGAAACAAAGAAAAACTTTTTGAACATTAGTTCAACATTCAGGATTTTCAGCTTCTAAAATACCTAAAAAAGAAAGGGGGAAAAAAGAACAAGATTGTCTATCAATCATCAAGACAAGTGGTTCTAGTTCCATACTAAGGTTCTCCATCTAACGACATAATTATAGTACTAAACTCTTTATTTATATCTATAACTTATTCAAGCAAAGTTTAGTACATAACCATATATGTACTTGGGACATTTAAGATTGTAATGACAAACTATTTTTAAGCATCACTATATAGTCTACCAGAAAAGTATGACATTGGTTATCAATTACCATTGTCCCAATAAGATCATCTAGCTATCCCGCAAAAGAAAAACAATTGATTGTTAAAATACTTCTTTCTGCAGATTTATCAACAAAAAAAGAAAAAAAAAGAAAAAAAAAAACTTCTGCAGTATAAGATGAACATATGTTTCTTTCATAAGATTAATGCATGTTTTAGTGTGTACTCGAGACAATAAAACGCAAATAGTTGAAGACAGAGGAACATGGCGAGGGGGAGTGGGAAGGGAAGAGAGAGGGGGACGGGTCAGCCAGAAGTAATGACATTCATTAGACATCTCGTCAATCAGCACTCGCACTTAAGGAAAGAAGAATCTCAATTCATCTGCAAACATCTTCAACTTCTTGCAACTTCGAAGAAGAAAGATTGGGCATGGTCCCTGAAAAAACTAGAAAACCCCTAGATGTTGATTTGTGATTATGTATCAATTTTAAGCAGAATATAACAATCTCAATCAAACAATCAAGACAAAGAGACACAACGATTTTACGTGGAAAAAACCACAATTGGACACCTCCAACTGTGATCAAAAAACCACGGGCAACAGCCACAAAACAATCCACTAAGAAAGATACTCTCAATTACCTAGCGAATCCACGCCTAATTGAACCAACCTCTATGTGCCTCTTCCAACCCGTCTTCACTCGGAATTGTGCTTTACGATGAGCCACCCGGAATCCACCAAAGTTCAGGCTCGAATTCTTCAGAATCCACCGAAGAACAACTCTCTCTTTTGTAGAACAAAACACAACCTTTGATGTACTCTCTTTAAACCATGAGTTGAATACTCAAAAAAACATCAAAGAAAACTCACAAAGTATCCCCAGATATAAACCCTAAAACCCAAAAAGAAGATCTGGAGTAGTAATCCTAAAATCTGACCTAACACGCGAATTTATAGAATCTGTCCCGCGATCTCCGCCGAGCGGCCAACAGCCCGCTCGAGCGGCTTCAGCAAAATATGCACGTGATATAACAGAGGTCCGCCGAGCGCCATTAAGCCCGCTCAAGCGCGAAATCACACATCTCAGTACTTTTGCAGGCGACCAAAAACTGCTGGAACCAAGGATTCTCCGCTCGAGCGGGTAATGTCCGCTCGAGCGGACAGACAATTTGATGCATTTTTGCATTTTGCTTCGGGGGTGCTGCCCCTCGACCCCGCCGTGGCGCTGCCCCCTGGACCCCCGCGAGCTGACCGGGCAGCTCGATCCCCGTCATAATCAGTGAAGTGGCAATCTTGAAAGTATTAGCATCACAAACTTCTCTGAAAGGCACAATTCGGGCTGGATTCGCATCTAAGCACTCATAGCCTCACTGAAATAAATGTGCGAAAATAAATACAACTGAAAGGAGTTTTGTCAAACGAGTTTGCCAAGAAATAAAACCTAACAGTCCCTTCATCCACTCTCCGCATCTCTAAGTTGTGCAAACCTTTGAGTTCTAGATATTTTAATTGAGGGAATCCTCTTGCAGAGCAAACCATTTTTTCCTCCACAAAGGCTTCATCTAAGTAGAGGCTCCTTAAGTTAGGCAACTTCTCCAGTGTCGACATAGGGTCTTCCTTAAGTAGAGATCCCTCGAAGCATAGCTGGGTGAGGCTGCTGCTCGAGTACAAAGAGATATTCATCTGATGGTCAGCAGGTGGTGCTAACACTCGTATAGGCCCCTGTATATCCAGTTTATGAAGATGGTGACACCCCAATAATTCTGTCAGAAGAGTTGACGACTCAGAGAAAACATCGAAGTCACGAATACAAAAGGGAAAGTGGCGGAGGAGCTGTTGATTTGGGTTGCTGATGCTGAAGAGATAGTTGATGATATCCTCATGTCTCCCCCACATTCTTGCTTCTCTTAGTTGTCGGAGATTGGTTAATTTGCAGAGGTCCTTAACATCACAATAATATGTATGGAAGTTTTCTAGCATCTCTAGGTTGACCAACCCATCCAATCATAATATGTCACCATTTCTTGTATGTAAGGATTGGGGAAGATAAAGATGTTGCAGTGGTTCCATTTTCTATAGCACATTCGGTATGCATGGTTGTTCAAGCATCCTCAAATCAAGGATCTGCAAATACCTCAACTTGCCTATTGATGATGGCAACTGGTTAAACCATGAATATCTTAAACCCAAGTATTTCAGGTGGATGAGATTTCCTATTGTTTTTAGTAACTTCATATCATAATTGCTAAAAAAGCGATGCCCTATTGCTTCAAGACCTAAAACTTTCAGCAATTTGAAATGGCTGAAAATTCGGGGTTTGTTTTGTTCCCATAGTTGATGGCTGCAGTTTCCTCCATAGGACAATACAACTGACCGAATGTGCTGATTTTTTGTTTTGTTTTGTTTTGTTTGAGGAGGGAAAGGCCTCCATCAACATTCTCATCAAAGATAATGGCAAGTCTGTGTATTTGACTACTGCGATATGACAATAGTGAAGGAGTATAGGAATATTCCTTTCATTTCTATGCCTCTTCAAATCAATGACCTTAAGAAAATTTTCCTCTTCAATCTTTAACAAACATAGGTACCGTATAAGGTTGTGAAGCTTGCATGATTTTAACCTTCCTTGGGACCTGATTGCTGGGTACTTTTCTATCTGCACCTTTGAGCCAATTCATCCAAATAACACTTTGCAACGTCCATCATTGTTTCTTCTTCCCCTTTTTCCATATCCTCCAATGATGATGGCAATATAATACCTTCAGCCATCCACAGTTGGTATAATTTCTCTGCTTGTATCTCAACGTCTTCTGGGTAATTTCCCAAACAAAGAAAACATCCCTTCAACAGATATGGCAAGTCATGATAACCAAGAGCCAACACCTCCATTACTCCTCCGTGTTGTTGTCCAATGCTTCTGCCCCTCCTTAGAATTGAAATTAAATTTTGATGAACCATCTCCCACTCACTTGAAGTATGTTCTGTCACTAAGATTCCACCTAGCACAACAATGGCTGGCAGTAAACCCCCACACCGTTCAATCATTTCCCTCACTAACATCTCCATCCTGACATCAACTTTGAAGTCTACAAAAGGAGCAAAGAGAAGATTTGTAGTTACAAATAAAATCGAAGTACTCCTTTATAACTACAATACCTTCACTTGTACATTTTTATGAATAGAATGTGACAAAATATTACACACTGGAAAAGACATTTCATGTAAAAATGTGTTTGGTGCAGCGTTCTAACTATAATTCTACCCCTTCATGTGAATTCTCTGTTTGGATACAACTTTCAAAAATTAATTCCATATTCACTTTTGAAAATATGTCTACCTGGTCATCCTGTCGGATGTCCCCCGGACTGCCGGACGACCGGAACAGTGGTTTTTTTTTTTTTTTTGGGCACCTGTTATTTTTATATTTTAAATAAAAAATATTTTCAGATTTTTTTAAAAATTTTTTTATGAGTTTTGAATAGAATTTTGAGCTATGTGTTTGGTTATGAGTTGTAAGTTTTTAAATCAAATCTCATATGTCACATCAAAAATTTCAAATTCAATTCAAAACTCATAACTAAACAAATTTTCCACACTCAAATCATTATTCCAAAACTCACAAACTCAAAATACAACTCTATTCTCAAATAACAATTCTAAAACTCTACAAAACACTACCGATGATTTTCTATTTCTTTCTTACCAAGTTTTCTTAAACATGTGGAAAAAATCTGCTAAGTATTTGTTGACTTGTGCACATCACAAATAGAAATTAGAAATTAGAAATTTGAAAAGATTAGAATTGATAAAAAATAATTTTGTTGGACATCATGTGTCTTTCATTTCTCATAAATTAGGTTTTATTTAATAGCCTCATTGAATGCTTAAATATGAAACTTTTAGTAAATCATTTACTAATTGCATTTGACAATACACGGTAGGCTATCACCTTTACTTCGAAAATGCATGAACTTTTGAAGTCAAAGAAATTCGAAATCAGTTATGCTCTATATAATTTGGGGAATTTAGATTTTCAGATTTTTTTTTTTAAACAAATGATCTTTTAGGTTTTAAATTTCAACAATTAAGCTTTCAACACTAATGACACATTACAAGAATTTCTTAGTGCATAACTTCTATTGAACAAAAAAACATTGTCCTATTTTTTAGTGCAAAAATTAATATTTAAGTTTTGGATTATTTGAACCATTGGAGGGGTAACCTATTCACGGACGCTATTGACTTGCTTGGGGGCCAAATGATCAATGATGCCACGTCTTGGGGATCGCATGGAAGGATTCCCTCCCAATAATCAGATTGAGACAAAGATACTAGAAGTCTCTAAATAGGTCGAGGATAAGAGGTTAATAGAACCTGGGCAATCCCTTGATCTTAGTATTAGCGGCCAAGCCACACGATCCCCATGTCTTAGGCTCCCAGCAAAGACTATAACACAACAATTAGGCTACACTATAGTCATGCACCAAGTCTCAAGGGGCCTCCTTGACTATACCAGGCAACCGGGGAAGACATCGGTTTGGGTATTTCACATATGAGAAGGAGATCTTAATTCGTAGACCTCAATTTTAATTTCTTGCCCTAACCTCACCATAATAGTTTTCGGGGTATCAACTCTGATGGAAGTACATGGGAAGGTCCTAAGATGAAGCTCATACGAGACAATGCTAGGCAGAACCAAGTGGTTTTAGTCTTTTGTTTTATTTTTTAAGACTCTTGATCAATCTCAAAGGTACTGTGAACTAATCTCTTGGGTACACTCATTGGTAGATTAGGGAATAATTATTTACTTAACACATTCTTCTTCTTTTTCTTTTTTTTTTTTTTGGGGACAATTAGCAGTTTTCCTTTTCTTGCGGCTCAATCTCTATAAATTAGGGTTCTACCCTAATAGCAAATCAATGCAAAGAAGTTGGGGAAAATTGGCCAAAAGTCCACGTTGTAGACTGTTATGTGGCAGAGGTTCAAGAATTTATCTTTGTTGGTTATAGTGACACATGTGGTGGTAAGGACAATTTATGACATCTTTGGCCCTTTATGCGTATTTGTACTAAAAACTTTAAAATGCTATAGCTTCAACTATATAAATACACTTTTAATAAAATTGATATTTTTGGATTCGTCTTTTTGAGATGTTTAAAACAAGATTCATATTGAATATACAATTCTAGAAGGAGGCAAAAAAAGAAAAAGGTAGATGTATCTATCCCATTTTTAAATTAATTTGAGGCAAGCCAAAGCCAAGGTAATCCATGGCAAGTAAACTATGTATTTGGTATCATGCAAACTATAGTTCAGCACAATGGAACGGGCACTTGACCCACCTTATGGATTGGATGACATAATTTTTTTGTCTTATGTTTCATGATTTATTCGAGAAAATTCAAATTCAAAGACCAAAAAAAAAAAAAGAATTTTTTTTTTAATTTTATTTTACAGAAATAACCACCTAAAACTGCCTTTAGCTGTTTCATTTGAATAGATCTCGAAAAAATACATAGAATAAAAAAAATTCATCCACAATGGACCACTAAGTGCAAAGTTTTGGCCTTTTGAAATTTGAACACCATAAACATTAAGGTTTTTTTTAAAGATTTCATAAAGATGAATCTAAAAATACAAATTTCATTTAAAATAGGATAACATAATTCAAGTTATGAGATTTTAAAGTTTTAATGTAAAACACACAATGGAAAGCTCCTAAAAAGTTTGTTGATATCAAAAGATGATCAGCAGGATTTTGAGAGGCACACTTGGGTAATTGAGGCCATTTTTGTCAAAGAACAAAGGTGTGTCCTTATGCGACGAACAAAAAGTTACTTCAAGAGTTTAATTGCCAAATCAAAGCACTTCTACAATTTTGTGCTTTAAACTCAAAATTACCAATTATAAGTCCAACAAAATTGGGTTGGTAAGAAGTAGCATAGGTTGCTCCAAAAAGAAAGAAAGAAAGAAAGAAAGTTACATATCACTAGACATCAAATGTAAATTGGCAATAAACTAACATGTACAATCTCTTTTTGAGAATACCTTCTTCTGAAATAGCTCCCAACTCTCTTCTTCATTTAAGCAGTTTGGTTCATGGAGGAAACAAGTTGGATCTATGTGCATAGCCACTTATTTATTACGAGTTGTAAGCAATATTTTACTGCCCAAACTTCCTTGTGGGAAGGCAGCTCTTAGACTATTCCAAGCATATGATGACCAAATGTCTTCTTTTCTTTTTTTTTTTCCGTTGGTCTCTCACCAACTTTGGGGTGCTAGCAAATGATAGGGTGAGCTCTGTGGTGCCAACCTAGTTGGGATCATTTAGCTCACTGTGATGCTTTTGCACTTCCCTTTCCTTTATTGATATTTTTTGTCTTGTATCTTGTACTTGCTCATTTCATCAATAAAGTTTCTTTTTTGCCGATCAAAGTGCTTCAAAGTAATGTATCAACTCTGTGTATTTTGCAAAGCTGAGTTTGAAACTGTGAACCATGTCATGGTGTCCTGCCGTTTTGCATCATCTGTGTGGCTTGAAATGTTGAATTGGTGGAACTGGAACTGTTGAAGGGTTGCTTCTATGGTGGGATGGAGAGGTGCTCAACAGTAAGGAGAGAAAGATTTGGAGGGGCATACCTCTGGTTATGTTGTGGTCCCTGTGGAAGCTTCGAAATGATGTGGTGTTCAATGTTGCCATCCCTGATGTGGCTGTGTTATGTGAAGTGATAAAAGTCAGGGTTGCACTGTGGCTGAGACCGTATTATTTAGATCATAGTTTTACAGTTCAGGATTTTGTGATTAATCTTAGGCAAGTGAGAAGGTGTATTTCAAGAAGAAGTGTCTAAGGAGGCAAATGTTATGGCTGGTATGACTGTGAAGTGCATTATCATCAGGGTGTGGAGGTTAGAGTCTGATCTGGGTGGACACTGGTTGCTGAGGTTATTGACTGATTTGGGTGGAACTCCTCTGCTGCTGTT